GCCGCCGCGCGCAAGCCGCGCGCGCCGCAGGTCGCGTCGCCCCCCGCCTTATAGCGCGATCTACAGGGCGAAGCTGACGAATCAGGCGCGGGCTGGGAGGGGCCAGCCAACGCTGGCGAGGGCAACAAAATCACGCGCCGTCGAGAGCAAGCGGGCAAGACGGAGGTCGATATCGCGGATTGGATTCGCTTTCGTCTTGCGCTGCCAGGGGGTCGAGCCGCTGCCCGAGCCCCCCGCCACTCGCCCGGGAGATCCCCAGCCGCGACGATTTTGAGGCAGGGGCCCAGGCGCTGGCCCAGGTTAGCACCTAGCAGCTCGCACTCGCTGTCTTCCACAGATGTTCGGCTCGCTAAACGTCGAGGACGCCGCGCGCCTCGGATTCGGCCGGTCTGCCGGCCCTGTCGCCGCTATAGCCGAGCTTCAGAAGCCCGGGCCGCGGAGCGCTTGAGCCCATTCTGGGATTGCCCGCGCCGGTGCGAAAATTGAAGATTTCCCCCAGCAGATCGCGCTTTCCCCCGGCGGGTTTGGGGCGGAGCGGGGGCGAGGCGGGGTGATTGCCAGGGGTGGTCGCGGCAGGAGTTGGCGCTCGCTGCGGGGCGCGCGCGACTCGCCTTTGCCGGCGCTCTTGAGAAGCGCCGCGGCAGCGCGGGGATTGGCGTCGAACGCAGGGGGCCCCAGGGCGCCCTTGGTTTGCAACGGGCAGGTTGGGCGGGGGCCATAGGTTTTCATCGGCGACGGAGTTCGCGCCGCAAGCGCGGCGATGAATGCGTCGGGCTGCGGGAAGCGAGTCTCGCCCGCAGCGCGTTCTCCAGCGTGCGCAACGGCCTTTGCCGCTTTGCTCGGTCCTAGCTGCGCGCTGCACTGGCACGTCGTGCCCATCGCGGTCGGCGGCCAGTCTAAATGGATTTCAAGCGTGGCATCTGCGCGGCGCGTCGCCGGCGGAGGCGCAGGCGTTGATTTTCTCGTCAGGGGAATGGTCTCGGAGCGTCTTTGATAATTGCCCCCCAGCTGCACTGGGCCCTCGCGGCGCTCGTCGCGAATGGCGACGAGGGGTGCCGAACGATCTCGGCATTCCCAACATGTTCTACCGGGCGCCTGGGAGAGCGGGCCCCCCTGGCGCCAGGTCCGAATCTCGGGGGAGCGTAAGACCCGGGTTTGCCAGGACTCGGTTTCGCCATCGTTTTTTGACGACCGCGCTTCGGATTTTGACGAGGGGGAGTTTCGTGGGATGTCTGCAGCGGGCTCGTCAAAATGCAGGCTCGGCCTCGTCATTTTTTTGACGACCTCGTCGGGGATTTCCGAGTCCCCCGTAACCGGGTCTTACGTTTCCCCGAGAATCGCGCAGTCGCCCGCGGTTCAATCTCAGCCCCCCGATGTTACATGGCGCCAGGGCGTTGGAGCGAGTCGGTGGCTGGGCTTTCCTCAGGTCTCGCATCATCATGCGGGGGCCTTCGCTGTCACCCCGCATTGACGCAGTTTCATCTCTCTGCCTGCGGCCGATCAGTTCGCGGGGCACACGCGCGCAGCAGCGCCCGTCCTTTGCGCCGCGAGGTGGATTGTTGCCGGGTGCCATCATGCACTTGCACGCGAGAAAATACCGACCCCGAACTCATCCCACGGTAATTTCACGAAACGCAGCATTTGGTTTCGACCTCCCTGGGTGAACCCCCATCGCGGCGCTCGCAGTCCCAAGCGACGTCTTATAGAACTTGACCCACGCGGCCAAGACCAGCGCGACTGAATTGGGCAAGGGGGGCCGGGCGCCGCCCAGGCGGTCGACATCTGCGCGCTCGCGGCCAACGGCGCGGCCCCGGGCGGGCGCGCTCTCGACGCGCCAGGTGCCTGGGCAGGAAATGCGCAGTGGTCCGCCTTCGACCCGCATGCAGATCTCAGGGCGGGAATGTCAGCGCGCGCGCGACCTAAGCCACCAAGAGAGCCTCCGTAATCAAAAAAGCTTGAGTTTGATCGCCGCGTACCCGGGGGGCTCGCTCGGGCCACTGGCGCGGGGCCAGTTGCGGCGTTTTTCCCGCGGCCGCGATCGCCGCCGCCATCGATCGATGGCTCGGCGCTGACCTCGACGCGCTTCGACGCCCTGAGTTCTCAGCCGCGGGCGCCGAAACCAGAGGGGCAAGTAGAGGCGCCTTTTCCTCGATCGTCGAGCTATTGCACTGGCGGCGCTCTCGGCCCGGGAGACCTGGCCAGCGGCTATAGGGTCGACGGGGGGGGGGGGGCTCGGCAGCGCGGGCGCGCTGGAATTCTAACGCTGGGACTGGGCGACCATTGCAGCATTGCGCCGCAGGCGGGGCGGGCACCTGCAGCGGCGCGAGGGCCCCCCCCGTTCGCCGCGCGCGCCCTCGATGACATTTGGCCGGAGTTTCGCCTGGCCTTCTGCGCCGCGAGCGCACGGGGCCGCGGTCTTCAGTCGGCGCGACGTTTCCCTCGCGTTGCTCAAGCAGTGGTTGCACGTTGACAGCGCCGGGGCTCGGGGGCGAGAATTGGCGCGACCCCTGCCCCCAGGTCCGATTCCAGATCCGCCTTTGCTTTGCTTCGACGTTGCCCGCGCGGCCCTGGCGGCCGAACGGGAAATGGAGGTTCATCCGGGGCGGCGGCATTTCTCGACTAGCCGCCGTTTGTCAGCGTTTTATGTTGGACCGCCAGGAGGGCCGCGCAAGCAGGGCGTCTCGCAGATGATTGCCGCGCACTCCTGGGAGGGCATCTTGGGGCGGCCTTCCCAGCGGGCCCGCCCAGTCTCCAGCTCTTGAGGCGCGCCGACTGAGCGGCGAAATCAGGCCCGCCCTCCCTCTCGCCCACGTCTGCGCAATGAGATTTCAGACGCAGTTGTCCTGGCCCCCTTGCATCCCATCCAGATTCATATATTCCCCCAGCCGGCGATTCGTTCCTGCGCGCGCATCGCGCAGGCCTGTCAGAGGCCGCCGGCATTAGTTTCTCGCTGTTGCCGCGTGGGCAACCTCGCAGGATGCGACGGGGCCGGCTCCCAGGCTGGCCCCACGTGCCAGGTCGGCCCGTGGATTCTCTACGTTCGAGGAATTCATCCTGGACATTCGGTCCCCCGCGGCGTTCCCTCTCCCCTGGGCCCCGCGAGCAGGGGATCGCCTGGGCTTTTGAGCGCGCATGCAAACTCTCACAGGGAAGAATCCTGCATTCGGTGACCGTGTCATTGATGGATGTCTTGAGCTTCTGTCTGCGAGAGTCCATTAGGGCGATGTACTCGGGAGCCCGGGTCGCCTCGGGCAGCGGTGTCAACGGCAAGCTATCGACGGCAGCAGCCATCGTGTAATATCATCCTGATCGGGGCTGCATTTCACATGGGGATTGAATCCCCGTGAGTCCTGAGTTAGACGTTTGGTTTTGTAGCGAAATCGGCATCGCCGGCGCGCCCGCCGCGCAGTCCGTCTTCCGCCATCGTTCGCGAATCTGCGCCAGAAAACAATCCCGCCGCTCCTTTACATTGCGTTGTCAAGATCCTGGTTCTCTGGCCTGGGCGCAGCCAGGTGGGCTGGGCGCCCAGGTGCTTTCAAGTCAACGCTCAGCTTCTAGTTGTGCTCGAGCACGCACCGTGGATGCGCGCCGCCTGCTTTGCTTTCTCACGCTCGGACCAGGCGGCGGTCCAGTGTGAAGCTCGCCGCCGATGAGCGCTAGGTTTCGCGCGGGCATGAGACCTGCTCACCCGCCCAACAAATTGCCGCGCGATATTTGTGGTGGGGGGGGGCGCGCTGCTGGTATAGTCCTGGTCCGCCCGAGAGCGGAGGGGCGCTGATTGCGGCGGCGTCTCCTGCGCGGTGGACGCCTCGACGCGGGGGCCACGCCCGGCGACGCGTTCGAGTATCAAGCTCTCAGCTGGAGTTCATTTTCAAACATGAAATATGCGATGCCCCCGCTGCAGAGGTGGGGCGCCAGGGGGCCCGTCGACCAGCGTGCCGCGTCTATTGCTTCTGCGTAAAACACGGCCCATAATAGACCCGGCCAGGATCGGCGGCGCAAGGGCTCACTCGGCGCCCCCTCCGCGCCCGCCCCCCCCGCCACCGCGCCCTTCCGAGCGGGGGCAGGGCTGGGCCGGCCGAGCGCTGATCCTGACCAGGCCAATTATTGCGATTCGGCGCCCCCCCGATCCTGCCTCTTCTGCCGCCGCCGTTGGTCGGCCAGGGCCCATGGCCGCTATGGGCCCTGGCCAATATCAATTGTTCCAGAGCGTTCCAGAACGCTCCTAGAGCGTTCCTGGGCTCTTTGGAACGGCCGCGGCGCCTGACGCGGGGTGGTCCCAGTCCGATCTTGTCCCGGCCCAGGCTTCGTTTTGTTAGGAGGTTTGGAATATCATGGCCGCGGACCACATTGCTTCCCGGATTTCCCAACCCGTTTTGCTATTCTGCCCCCCTCGCCCGCGCGCATTCTTCGGGCCGCGACGCGCCGCGCAGGCCAAGGGGTTTGTTGGGTTTGTTCGTGGCCGCGGCCAGAGAGGCCTTTGCGTTCCGTCGCTGGCGCTCCGCGCGGTGTATGCAGCGCTAGAGCGAGAGCCACAGTTCGACAAGGACCCGCCCTCCATTGCTTAAAGCGGTGCTCATTTTTCAGACGAATGTGCACGGGCTTAGGGCGGGAGCCACATGTTGAAAAAAACATATGTCCTCCATCATTGAGGCATTGGCGAAATTTTCAAACGAATGCGCGCGGTGCTAAGACGGGATAGACATTTTGGACACGACCCGCTCTCCATCCGTGAAACGGTTTTGCAGAAATCAATATACAGGATCGTAAATGGTGAGCAAGTCCCCAGCAAAATGCCCGACCCGCCCTACCGACAGGTCGCGAGGTGCGACAGGGAAGAGTTATTTTCACACAGGACGACAAGCACTGAAAGAGTGGGAGGAGGAACCAGAGGAAAAGGAAGAGGAGGAGGACGAGGAGGAAAGACATGGGAGTGACTGAGGGAGAAAGGGGCAGCTTGCTTTCGAATCAGGAAGGGAGAAGAGGAGAGAAGGGGCGAGGTGGTTACGACGGCAAGGGGCGCACGAACGAGCTGTACGTGCTCGACACAGCCGAGGGCAAGTGGGTGATGCCCATAGTCAGGGAGGGGAGGCGGACGCAGGCCCACTGTCGGAAGCAGGATGCGCATCCTGTCGCCGTCTTCGCGGGACCAGCCGTCCTGCAGTGCCGACTCTCCTCGCCCCCGCCGCCAGGCGCCGCCCGCCGTGTTGCCATTGGACGTTTCTCGGAGCCCCGAGTGGTCAGGGTGGGAGGTGGTCAGAGGTAGTTTTTCTTTCGTGCCTCGGCGGCCCAAGCTGGAGTTGCCCTGGACTGGAGTTGCCCGGGATCCTGCAGGCGTCCAGTTCGTAGGGCTGGGGGTGGTCCTGGGTAACTCTTGGTTCGTGCGCCGGGAATCCGAACCCGCGTTGCCTTGGACCAAAGTTAGGGGGCGATAAATGGAGGTGTGAAGAATGGTGCACCTGTTGTGCTCTGAAAGGGCCCCCTAGGCCCCAAACAGAGCACGAAAGGTTCACGTTTCCCCCTCTCCCACGATGACGCTGAGGATGCGGAATGGGAGGACGGAGGGGGCTTCGGGAGAAAAAAGGAGTGGACGCAGGGCGAGGACCCAACACCACAGGATGGTTACAGGATGGTTAGGAACAATAGGCAATATCTACAATCTTTCGGGCCTCCCCCAGACAGAGGGTGCCGACCGCGCCGCCGCCGCCGAGGTGCGGCCCACCTGGCCCACGGAGTCGCCGCACACGCCGCCCGGCCGGCAAAGGCGCCCTGCGGCCGCCGCCCGGGGGCGCCGCGCTAAGGTGTCGATGCCTAGTATCGTTTGACCGATCCCCGTCCCGACGGCGCCATGATATGTCAGCCCCACCACCAACCCCAGTTAGCAAAAGGCGCCTCGAAGCACGAAGGGAACGGCGCACATCCCCATCCAGGGGGCAGATTTGCCAGCGGGGCCAAGGCCACGCAGTGGGTGCTGGGATCGGTTGAGCGATGCTCACCACGCAGACGTGGCGATGCCTCGCGCGCGTGGTTGCGCCCACGAACAGCCGCACGAAGCAGACCACGAACCGCGCGCGAACTGCGCGGCGAAATAAAGGCAACGGCGCGCCAGCCCCGCTGATGCCGCTGCCTGGTTGTTTGGCTCGCGTCGGAAGACAGAAAACAGCATAGAAATGATTTCCCGGAGGTCCGTGCGGAGTTTTTGAATCGGCGTTGGGCCCCTGGCGGCGCCTCTGGCGCCGCCCCATTGCACGCTCCGCGCGCCAGGGACGGGGGTGCAGCGCCGACGCGAGGAATCCGCGCCGACCTCCGAGAATTTGGGTTTATGCCGTTTCTTGTCCCTCTGTAACCGCCGCGGCGCGGGTCGTCCTTTCACCGCTCGTCGCCCGTCGTCATCGCGGTCAAGACGTTGAAAGAAGGACTGGTTTGTGTCCGGCATGGGCGCCAGCTGTCCAGCGTCGTGAGAAAACAGAGACGGCGTTTTTAGTCGTCTCCGGTCTCTGAGGGCCCTCGCGGGACTCAAACACACCTAGCCGAATAATGTACGGGAATGGAATCCGAGCGATGGCAAGTCCCCGCTGGCTCCTCCTCTCTTCTTCTCTCTCCGAGCCCCTCGAACTTCGTGCTCGGGGCCATGGTCTTCGCGTGCTGAAGGTTGGGCCCAGCGGGGACCGGAGGAGGGCGCCACGTCGTGGCCACGCTGATATGCCCTGATGTTTTTCCTCCCTCCTCCCTCCTCCTGCCTCCTCCCTCTCCTCTCTCTCATCCTCGCCCTCCTCCCACTCTCCTCGCTCCCTCCCTCTTTCCTCACTCCTGGTGGTGCAGTTGCCTCGGCACGGAGCCAGGATCGAGTCGGATCGGCTGCGCCAGGATGCACCACGGATCGACCGGATCAAAACGAACCCTGGATCGGGCGGGCGGGAGGGAGGGGAGGGGAGGGGGAAGCAGCGACGGGGGGGGGCAGTGCGACGCCGAGGTCCAGGGCCAAGGCCACCTCTGGCAACACCAGACTGCTGGAGGATAGATTGGTCCAGGTGTGGCCGGGATCGAGCGAGCGAAGCCGGCGATGCAGGCGGGCTGCGGCGAAAACCCGGAACAAGCAACTGCAGGCTCGGGCATACGGTCAAGTCGCATAATAAGGATGCGCGGTAAGGATGCAATGGCCTTGGAGGGCCACGCTGGCGTTTTTGAACGGAGTTGGCCAGCACAATCACCAAGGATGGGTCGAAGGGGCAAGGATGCACTGGCAGCTCTGACAATTGCTCCTCCTTACTATGCGGCTTGAGCCTCCATCGATGCTTGTTCCGATCCGACCCGACTTCGCGGTCCAATGCTGGCTATGCTGCCAGAGGTGGCACTGGCCCAGAGCACCCCTGCCACCGAGGCCCAGGGGGGTCCCTTGGGGATCCAAGATGGCGCGCAGTGCTGGGGGCACCTTGAGTCAGGGTCACCATGGCTTGCCTGGCACGGGGGCGCCGTCGGCAGCTGGCAGGGCCCCTGATTCCCGAATGCTTGGCTTCTGGACCAGATAGGATTGCCTCCCCCCCCCCCGCTGAGCGTGGGACCTTTTGAAAAACAGATGTGCTGGGCACCTCCGACCCCTCCGTTTCGGCTTCCCTCCGCAGAGATGTCGCACCACCTCCGCCTCCTCGAGAATATGCCCCCCCGCTGGAAGGTTGCTGTCCCCCTCTTCGCCTCGGCCTCGCTCTCCGCGGCGATGTTCGCCCACTTTCGCCACATGATGAGGACGATCTGTCTTCCGAGGAGGCGGAGGAGGAGGAGGAGGACGTAGCGCCCGCCGTGTCGAACAAGAATCTGGACGGAGCGTTTCCGTCGCGCTCGGCCTCCGAGGGCCCTCGCCAGGCCGCGGGGCCGTCACCAACGACTCGGGACGAGAAGCCGGCCCTGGGCAAGGGGAAGCATGACGACGACGACGACGACGACGACGACGACGACGACGACGACGACGACGACGACGACGACGACGACGACGACGACGACGACGACGACGACGATGTGCGTCTCTTTCCGGGGTCTCTGGAGGTCTCTGGAGGTTCCCTGGCGGCCTTTTGAGTCCTCTGGAGTCCTCCGTCGGGACGTCGGGACATCAGAAGTCCGGGTTCCCAGGGATGCCCTTCTGTTCCTACTCGCCCAGCCATGCGGCCCCGAGGCACAGTGCGTCGCTGATCGGCTCCAAGAGGATCTACATATTCGGCGGCTTCGACGGGACCTCCCCCGCCCCCTGCTCCTGTTTGGAGCCTCGAGCTTCGGACTGTTCTGCTGGTGACAGCTGGCACCCTCGCGCGGTGCTCTTTTCATCCTCCGAGGAGGAGGGAGCACAACAAGCACGTAGTCTTACAAACCTGGGCAACAGGAGGTCAACACACCGTCGAGGAGGAGCAGGAGGTGGATGATATTCTCACCTTGCGGCTGCTCCTCCTCCTCCTCCTCCTCCTCCTCCTCCTCCTCCTCCTCCTCCTCCTTCTCCCTCCTGACGCTGTTCCTCGTCCTCCTTCTCCTCCTCCTCCTCCTCCTCCCTCCTCCTCCTCCTCCTCCTCCTCCTCCTCCTCCTCCTCCTCTTCCTCCTCTTCCTCCTACTCCTGCTCTCCCCCCCGCTCCTCCCCTCCTACGCCTGCTTCCCCTGTTCCCTGGCCCTCCACCCGCTCCTCGCCCCCCCGCCCCCCCCACACACCTCCTCCCCCCCCTCCCCCCCTCGGCGGCGCGCAGGGGGGAAGCATGGACGGCCGCGAACCGGTCGGTTCGGTTGCGTCGGTGTCGGTTAGAATCGATCGGTTCGGTCGGTTCGGTTGTTTCGGAGTCCCTGCGTCGTCGCGCCCTCTTCGGTTACTTCGGTTGATTCGGTTTCGCCGCGGGCGCCTCGCTGGCGCCTCGTGCCGGCCCAGGGGATCGAATCGGCCGCCGGTTTCCAGTTCGGTTTCGCTGCCCACGGATTCGCGCCGATCTGATTCCGCTTGGCCTTTCCCTTTGAAGAAAAAGGGAGGAGGAAGAGGAGGAGGAGGTGGAGGAGCAGGAGGAGGAGAGGAGCAGGAGGAGGAGGAGCAGGAGCAGGAGCAAGGAGGTTGGTTGGCTGATTGGCCGGATGCGCGCAGTGGCGCATCGTTGGCCGGATAAATCTTGCCCCGTGGCCAGGCTTCGAAAACGCTTCTTCCACGGGAATTCCGGAGGCTCCCCGGAGGCGCCGAAGGCCCCGCGGGGAGAGACAACTTTTTTTCTGGCCTCGAAAAATGGCTTTTCGGCTCGTGGGGGTTCCGGAGGCTCCATGGAGGCGCCGAAGGCTCCGGGGAGAGAAAAACAATTTTTCAGCCCCCGAAAAATGTTTTTCGGCTTCCGGGGCCTCTGGAGGCTCCCTGGAGGCGCCGAAGGCCCCGGGGGAGAGGAAAACAATTTTTTGGGTCTCGAAAAATGCGTTTATGGCTTTCCGGAGCTGCAGAGGCTCCCTGGAGGCGCCGAAGGCCCTGGGGAGAGAAAAACAATTTTTCAGGCCTCGAAAAATGCTTTCGGGGGCTCTGGAGGCTCCCTGGAGGCGCCGAAGGCCCCGGGGAGAGAAAAACAATGTTTCAAGCCTCGGGCCTTGGGCGGAGCATTTATGGGGCCACGAAACTTGCGAGGGGTTCGCCGAACTTCTTTGCGGGAGCGCGCGCGGGCTGCGCCGCTGGGAGTTTTAGCGGAGCTCTGATGGGGCCATGAAGCGTGTGAGGGGTGCGCCGTCGCGGGGAGCGAGAGCGCATGCTGGCTGCGCCACTGTGACCCTGCAGTTCGGTTTTCGCGTTCGGTCGGTTTCGGTCGGCTGATTCGGTTCTGCAGGCCCCCTTTCGGTTTCGATCGGTTTCGGTTTCGTCATCGGTTCGGTCGGCTCTCGGTTTCTCGGCAACTCGTGGCCGCCCATGGGAAGGGCAGCGGAGGCGGGCCTTCTCAGAGGGCTTGGAGCTGGCCTCTGGCGATCCCCCCGGATTTTCTCCCAGCCCTCCCTCTCCTCCGCCCCGCCCTCCCCGGGGAGATGCCCGCGCCGGAGCAGGGAGGAGCACCCAGACATCCGACGCTTGGACAAAAACAAGAAGGTGTTGTTTCGTCGCGTTCGGCCTCCAAATGGCCCCGCGGCTCGAGACGCGCACGGCGTCGGGGGCACGGAGGGGGTGCGGCGGCAGGGACTCGCACGCCGCAGAGCTCGCGCACCCCCCGTCGGGGGGGCGCCACCGGCCAGTTGAGAAGATGGCTTCTCCTCTTCCAACTCCATCGTCGTCGGCATCAGCATCCGAGGAGAGTGAGGAGGTGCGAGGAGGAGGAGGAGGCGGCCTGAGGGCCGAGGGCCCAAGGGGCCCTGCCGCGCCCGATCCGCCGTTGTTTGGAGGCATGGAGCAGGGGAGGAAACGTGGACTCCTGCCGCTGCTGCTGCTGCTGCTGCTCCTCCTCCTCTGGCGTTCTGAGTGTGCGGCATCTGTGCCCTTTAAGTTTACACTTGGCCTATTTGGCGATGCGTCGTGGTTCGTGCCACTTCGCCTGGGCACCCGGGCTGCCGCCTCGGGTAGGGGATTCGGTTGGACGATACTTGTATCTTGCCGTCCCCTGTCTTGCGTTCTTCTCCCTCTTCTTCGTCCTCCTCCCTTCTCCGCTTCTCGCCAGTGCGTTTTTACTTCTGGGATGTTGCTGTAAAAGTAAGGCACTGGTCAGTCTCTGCCGAGCATCGCCACGGAGTGCACGTGTTACTCGAGAGATGCTGTGGTCGCCCCCATGTCCGATTCGTCCCCTCAGCTTTCCTCCTTCTTCTCCCCCCCCAAAAAAAGGAGGAAACGTAGACGTCCGCTAGAGCAGCGGGTTTCCTCGCAACTCGTTGCCTCCCTCGCCTGCTTGTGCTCCTCCTCCGTCGCCTCTTGGCTTAAGGCCGCTCTGAGAGCGGCCCCGGCATCCTTTTTTGAAGGTCCCACCCACCCACGCCACGTCAAAGCGGTGGGGGGGGGCCCGCCTCCCGCCGAGTTTGCTCGGCCTGCGCTTGCCGCTTCGCGGTCGGCGCACGCGTCGGCCCCCGCGCCGTGAGAGGGGACTCTTTCCCCACCCCTGGCATGCTACAGTGCACCAGGGGGGGGGTGCAGCGGCAGCGAGGACTCGCATGCTGTTGAGTTCGCGCCCCCCCCGTCGGGGGGGCGCCACCGGCCAGTTGAGAAGATGGCTTCTCCTCTTCCAACTCCATCGTCGTCGGCATCAGCATCCGAGGAGAACGAGGAGGTGCGAGGAGGAGGAGGAGGCGGCTTGAGGGCTGTGGGCCCAAGGGGCGCTGCCGCACCCGATCCGCCGTTGTTTGGAGGCATCGAGCAGGGGAGGAAACCGCGGGCTCGCGTGGAGATGCGTAACCCCTTCTGCGACCCCGCGTGGAGATGTGCAACCTCTACTGCGACCCCAATACAAAAATTGACCCATGAGATCCTAGAGGAGAACCCACGAGGGATATCCCAGACGTGGTGCGCGAGTCCCTCCCTGCGATACGGCTGCACACTCAGTAGACATACGCTAATTCACTAGCCCTGGTTGTCCGGACAAAGCAAGCTCAAAGGAATACCCTTTAAACAGAGTTGGAGGGACTCCAACGGAATATCAAGCGAATTCCAAAGGAAATTGAACATAAGACTGAACGGATCTCAACGGAAGCTCGACCAACTGGCCAGGTAGTAGCGCCTGATAATCCCCCTGGATCCGAGCAGGTGCGCACGTAGAGCATTATGCCGAAAACGCCCCCTGGATTCGAAGATGACACCCTCTCGCTCCACTCATACGAGGTCAAGGCAACGGGGCTCTGCGGGGGATATCGCTTCCGCTTTGGGCACCGTGCAGGAAGCGTTACAATTTCCTCCGAGGGGCCGAGTACTTGTTGTTTCTGTGGGTCCATTCTGCCCGCCGCCATGTTCGAGGAGCGGTCGGATGTCAGATGTGGCACGAGCGCACGTGGCGCGCCCTTTCTGCTTCTCTCACTTGTTATCCTCGCCCAGCCGCAGGGCAGTCTCTGCATTGGCAGGGGAGAGGGGATAGCACTCGTGCCAGACATCCTCCGATCTGTTTTTCGTTCAATCCACTGCCCCAGGGAGCCCGACCCCTTCCCCGGGGGTAGTTTCGCGCCCCAGCTAAATTGTTAATGGTGCCGCGTCCCCTGCACGCCGAAAACTTGGGAAAACGCCCAGATCAACAAAATCAGATCGACGAATGTCTGGGGAGGTGGTTTCGATCTCGTACTTGTGCCCGCCGCCAGAGATCTGCCCGGCACTCTGGGCCCCCCCGCCTTTGCGCGGGGTGGCGCCCAAGAGGGTGTTGATGACCTTGTGGGGGGGAGACATCTTTCTCCCAATGCGTCCCTCAATCTGTCCCCTCGTCCGCGCACGTGCTCAGGAGCGGCGAACTTATCCGATCTTAGCCGTCGCGGTCTGGATTCTGGGGCGCACTCTCGCGGATACGCGGTCGCACGGATACGTCCGCGCGGGGCATCCGCGAACAAACACGCCCCGTATTTGCGGGGTCGCGGACCAGGGGTCTGGCCCGCGAGGCCGCGGATACGGGTATGTGTTCCGCCCTTGGGGCGGCCCCCTCCTGGACACTCCCGCCCTCGCGTTAGCTGCGCCCCAGGAACAAGTGGCTCAACGACCTGCACGTGCTCGACGTCGGCCGCCTGGAGGTGGGCCGGGCGGGGCCCCCCCGAGGGCCCCTCCACTGGAAGTCGCGTCTTTCGGGTGACCACTTCTCAAATCGATGATCCGCAAGACGCGTGTGTGAGCCCAGTGTGCGTTTACCCCGCTCAGCTCCACCGAAATCACGCGGCCTGTGTCGGCCCTCCTTACACCGCCTGTGCTGTATTGAGGGGCTTCGGGGGACAAGCGCACGTTGGCGGTAGCACGTTCTGAGGATCATCGATCAAAGGAAGGCGTGTTGAGGCAACGGTAGTTTCGAACAACAGAAGACACATGCACGTAATTAATTGTCTATAGTTCCGCTGAGATTTCTTGGATCTGCGCTGGGCCCCCCCTGGCGGCGACTTTGGCGCCGCCCCTGGCGCGCTCCGCGCGCCAGGTAGGCGGGTCCAGCGTCGATTCAATCAATCTGCGGGGAGGTCTGAGACATTCATGTATGATGCACTTGTTTCTCATCTGGCTGGTTGGCCTTCGGGGACCCCCTCGTCGCAACGGCTGGATGGTGCTCGGAAAATTGGTGCGTGTGGACTTTGGGAGGGGTTTGGTGACCGATTTTGAGCTGCCGTTGTCTCAACTCGCTCTGGTCCGTGAGGCCATCTGGCTGATTTAGATCAGGATCATATGTGGTTGTTTACCATATGTGGCTGCTGAGTAATGTCGACATAGTTACCGATAGGTATCTCAGATTTAGTGTTGATGATCTCGGATGTCAACATAACTACCCGTAAATCTTTCGAATGCGCTTTAGATTTTGACATGTGAGGTGAGTAGTTCACCGATATCCAGCTGATTGCCGAAAGTTCCGCCACCGTGCCAGCACAGCATTCTCGGTGGTCCTTGCGCGAGGGAGACGGGAGACCCTAACGTGTGACGGTTCGAGCGGCGATAGATGCACTCACTGCGGCGACGGTTGGAGCATGCCCAGAAAACCGTCATGTGTGACACATCGTTGGGCTTCGAGTTTTCTTGGCCCGTCCGAAGGCTCTCCGCGGCACCACCCCTGAACGCTCCGACCAAGTGTCGCTCGCGCTTGACTGCAGTCGGGTGCAACGCTTGCTCCAGGGTCGAGGGAGAGGCAGAGGAGAAGGAGGACCAGTGTAAACCCAAGACGCGCCAACGATGTTGCAGTAAACCTTCCGTCGAAGGCCTCACTTCACAGGTCACTACAGAAATGCTCCCTCTCATTCTCCCGTCTCAGCGCCCCCGGCGGGTGTTTTGCAGAATCCCGGCCGAGCCCCCCTCGTTCCCCTCGCGGCCCCCTCCGGCGGGCGCCTCATGCAAACGCTCGTTTAGGCGGCCATTGAATGGGCGGGCGGGTTGCTTTTCCGAGGTCTGCTAGCCGAGCGCTACAAGCGGTTCGTGGGCCAACTTTTCCTCTCGCTCGCGGACCTCGGCGCTTCCTTTGCGGGGTCGCCGTGGTCCGTACAGGCCGACCCTTGCGGCGTTGGGCGGTGCCCCTTGCCGTTTGGGACTCAGCCTGCCCCACCGTCCACCTGGGGTTCCCGGTGGACCTGAGCAGTGGAGTCACCCCTGTGCTGGTCTCGACGGTTGTTACCTTCCTCGGTGCCACGGCCGGCTGCAGCCCTTGCGGGGACTGCTGCATCGGGGCCTTCATGTCCCATTGGTGGGAGTTGGATGCATTCCCCCGCGCGCGGGCCGTGATCGGAACCCCTGGAGGGCATGATCGCGGCGCGCAACGTGCCCTGGCTTAGGGGTCCAGGAGCGCGCGCAGGCCTTGGCGCAGCGCCCGCCTGCTGCCCCGTCCCGAGGTTACTCCTCCCTGGTGGTTCGCGGGTCACTCGGCGCGCGCTGCCAGCAATTGCAGCCGTCGCCTGGGTAGTTGGGGAACCTGCCATCCCCGAAGGGCCTGCGTGGCCCGACTTTCATCCGTTCATTGCGCCGCCGGCCGCCAGGTACGACCGCTGGCGCTTGGACGGGGGCGAGGTAGTCTCGCGGCCTTGGGTCTTTCCGCTCGGCCGACACCATTAGTCTGAGTCACAGGGCTGGTGGCGCAGGGCTGGTGGAACCCTTTCAAGTTGCCTTTGCTCTGCGCGGCATCTCGCCCGCTGAGCACCACCGCTTCTGCGCCGGTCGGTGGTCGACCTAGAGGTCTCGGAGATGGATCTCGAGGATTTCAACCCGCTGGGCGAGGGGGACAGCGATCAGGAGCGAAAGAAGGACGTACACGTACATGAATCCACGCCGGTTTCGAGAATGCGCATTTCTCGAAAGTTCGTATCACGCGGCCCGTCTCGCAGATCGAGGGGCCGTCCTCGTGTGCATAGTTGGGCGCGCGCGTCCTTTGTGGGCCCCCTAAGCGACGGGCTTGTCCCGTTCGGGTCCGCCCGCGGCCGCGCGCACTGGCCGCGCCCGGCGGCCGTCGAGGGGGGCGAAGCTGCTCCAAGCGCCGAGAGGAATAACTACCCCGTATCAGTTTGCAGACGAGTTCGGGGCGGACAGCCCAGAGGAGGACGTCGCGGCCGACGACCTCCCTCCCCGCCCGGCGCGGGCCCCGCCGCCGGCAGGGGCGCCTCCCGCGTCCGCGCGGAGCGACCTGAGCGCGCGGCCTCAGCCATGGGTTGCCATGGCCCGCCCGCTGGCCGGGCGGGCCATCGCCGCGGCCCCGGGCGAGGGGGCGCCGATGATTCGCGCGGAGGTCCAGTTGGAGATCCAACGCCGGTTACGAACGCGACGCAGGCCGCGCCCCCCCCCCCCGGGAGTTCGCGCCGACCCGCGCGAGGCCCGCCGGGAGATGCCGCAGTTGTTCGCCGACGTAGCCGCGCGCGCCAGCGCCCCCCGGACGACTTCAGGCGACGCTCGCCCCCGCCTTCCCCGCTGCACGGGCCCGCGGCCGCGCGGCCGCGCCAGCGTCGGCCCCGGCGGCGGCTCGGGGCAGAGGCGGGCCCAGGGGCGCACGCCCGTCGCTGCCGCCACCCTTTTTCCCGCCGCGAACACTGGCAGCCCCGGGGCTGCTCAGGCCCGGCGGGGCGCCGCCGCGGGCGGCGACGCGCGGCGCGCGCGCGCGCGCCGTGGGCATGGCGCCAGCTGCGCGCGCGGCGCCGGCTCGAGATCCCGTCGACCAACAGGCAAACCTCGCCCGCGCCCAAGGGGCGGAACCGTTTGCGATCACCCCCGCGGCTACGTTCCAGCATTTTGGCGAGCGCTGCCCGCAGGGGGCCCGCCAGGCGACGCGCGACGCCCTCGCGCACGCTGCGCGGCCCAGCGCAGAGCTCCAGCGTGCGTCCGAGAGCGGGGGCGCAGGCGAGGCGGAGGCCCCGGCGGCCTGCTGGCGCGCGCGAGACCAGTTCTTCGCGGGGCCAGATGCGCCGCCCGCGGGGGCGCCGCGCGTCGAGGGGGGCCCGTTGCCCTTCCCCCGGCCAGCGGGCCCGCGATGGCTCTCGGCGCGGGGCGAGCTCGAGGAACTTCTGGTCGCGCCTCGGCGCCCAGCGAACGGCGCGGCAAGCAAAGGCGCCAGCGGCGCCACCGAAACCAGGGGCCCCGCCCAGGGCAAGCCCCAGGGGGCAGGCCCCCAAAAAAGCGCCCTCAAGAAAGGCCAGTGGCGCCCGACGGGTGGCGGGCCCATTTTGCGCGCGGCTGCCGATGGGGGGGGGGTCGCGACGAATCGAGCGCTTCGACGACGCCGCGGCTGCGAAGCGTGCCCGGGTTGGCCGCGGTCGTGGCCGTGGGAATGCGCTGCTCCAGCCGTGACGTGGCTGGTCAGCGGGAACTAGCCGGGCACCCTAAGGTCCGCCCGCTGCTGCCCCGCGCCCATTTTCGGGTTATGATGGGTCTCGGCTTGCACTGGGGCTGGCCTCTGATGGCCGCGCTGCTGCTGGCGGGTTTCATCGTGTTCCGTCGCCCAAGCGGATTGTTGAGTGCCCGCCGTTGCGACCTCTCTCTGCTTGGCGATCGGCAGGGGGTCAGCGGCGCCGCCTTTCCTCGCCGCGCAGGCGCCGAATGCCCGTCGCGCCCACCCCGCGCAGCAGGCTCGCTGCTCCGGCGGGTCGTCGGCGAGGCTCTTGAAGCTGGCGTTCCCGCAATCGAGCTTCGCCGATCCGCTGTTGTCGCCCTTCGGGCAGAGCGGCTCGGCGGAAACATTTGCTCCCGGCGCCAGGTGCCCCGCTGTCCGAAGCGGCTCGTGGGCTGAGCCTCGCGCCTACTTGCTCGCGAGGCCCGCGGGCGGCGGGCTTTTGCATTGCCGCGGAGGACGTGCCTCGCGTCTTCCGGCGCGGCCGCCGGCGCCGGGCCCCCGGCGCTGAGCGCTATCTTCAAGCCGCCGCCGCCGCGCCCGGCCAGCCCGCCCTTCCCGCCTTGGCTCGAGCGCGCGTCGCGCACTTCGCTGCTGCCAGCGACCGCCCTGTCGCTTCTGCCCTTGAAGTTGGCCCCCCTGCGCGGTCAACGCGCGCTGCGGCCGCCCGCCAATGCTTCGTCACTGCGCATGGGCTCAGAGCCCTGGCGCGGCTTCTGGTGCCCTTCGGCGCCCAGGAGTTCTTCCTCGCTTGGGCGGCGCCGCTCGGGCCGCGCGCGCGCTCGGGGGCCTGCCCAGTCTGGCCCCCCTCGCGCGCGTCGGCCGCGGCCTCCGCTCGGGGTCCGATCGTTGGCGCGGTGGCGGGAGAGTGCTTTTCCTTATTGCGCCTTCTCCGCGCGTTCCTCCGTGGTCTGCAGAGCGTCGATCCCCCGCCCCCCCCCCCTCTTCCTCTTCCGAGGCTAGCCGCGCTGCTGATGGAGCCGCTCGGCTCGCGCGCGCTCGGGGGCCGGCCCGCCCCTTGCCCCGCCCTTCGCGCGCGTCGCCCGCGGCCTCCGCTCGGGCGCCAGTCGCTAGCGCGGGGGCGAGATCATTCCCCGCACGCTTGGTGGGGCTCTGGCTTTCTTCTCTGCCGCGCCGCGCCCGCGTCTCACATCCCCCCCCCCTTCCCCCCCCTCTTCCTTCCCCCCTCAGCGCGCCTAGGAACGCGAGTAACATGCACACATACAATCCAACGCACAA